TTAAAGTACCCAGACTAATATAGTGAGTAAATAGAAAACATCCACTTCCCCAAAGATTCACAGACTTCCTTATCTTTCATAGTTCCTTCCAAGTTTCTTTTTCATCATTCAGCTTATTAGTACTAAATAATGTGACTACCACCCTGCTGATACTGTTGGCTGAGTCGCCACACTGAAAAGTACCTAATGATTGCTTGCCTTGATTTCTGCCCCCTTCCACCCCACGTGGTGCAAATTTGGAGAAAATTGCTGGCTGGATGACACTGGAGTGCCTCTGGTTTGCAGCATGCCATCCATGTCTGTTATTCCCTGAACTGCTGCTGACAGAGGTTGTTGCTGTCCCCCACCTGCACCTCTGACACCAGGATGTTCATTCCAGCACCAGTCTCCAAAGTCGCACTGGCCTTGAAGGACAAATTGACAAATAGTCATGGACATGGTTAGCCCATAAAGCAACCTTCCACTAAGCACCCAGGACAAATGCAGTCCTAAGCAACTGGCAACATTTTTCTTGTGTTTACCAAGTTTCTATGTAAAATGATACACAAATATAATCTATGGAAACTCTTGAAATTAAGGCTTATTCATAGATGGAAGTATTGTCGTAAAACTTAGAATTAATATATTTTTCTGTCATAGAACCTTTGATGGCATAGTGGTTACTACTTGGACTGCTGATTGCAAGGCTAGCCATTCAAAAACATAAGCTTCTCCATAGGAGAAAGACAAGGCTTTCTACTGATGTGCTTTACACAATTGATCTATGTATTGTGATGAATTGTATGAGCCCCAATAAATTGATTAAAAATAAATAAAAATAAAAAAAGAGTTGTCATCTTGGGAACCACAGGAGTCAATCTACCCTGCGCTGTAGGGCTACTGTGAGTCAGCTTGATGGCAGTGAGACCTCTCTGTCATGCCATCTTATGACTTAGCAGAGAGAAAAATGATATTGTGTCACTTACCAATCCATAGAAAGTCAGATAGATTTATACTGCTCTCTTTCTTTTTACATCTAGAGAATGGGATGTTATTGAAACTGAAGAGCATTATAAGAGCCGATGGAGATCTATAAGGATTCTGTATTTTACTATGTTTATCAGCAGTGTTGGTGAGTTTTTAAAATTATACATAATTTTTAAAAATTAGGTAAAATGTTATATACTTAGTTTCTTCTGTTTAACTTGTATAATTTGAAAATTGTTTTGTATAGTTTGATATATTTTAAATTACAGTGAACCCTCGCCACTTCGCGCTTTGACTTC